ATCCTATACCGTTTTGCGATATTCGCAATAATTATCGAGATATCAATTGTAGAAAATTTGTAAATGATCATGCAGAATATGATAAATGAGTTATAATAACGACGACTGCCGTCGTGTACTTATACTTTAGGTAAAATTGAACAAAAAAGTCTTCTACCATTTTGCAAATAATTACATAGATTTTTAATTATTAATTAAAGAAGATGAGTGCATTATCACGCAAAATCGTACAATAATCTTCTTTAATTAATAATTAAAAATCTATGTGATTATTTGGAAAATGGTAGAGAACTTTTTTGTTCAATTTGACCTAAAGTACACGACGGCAGTCGTCGCTACTATAACTCATTTACTATATTCTGCATGATCATTTACAAGTGTTCTACAATTAATATCTCGATAATTATTGCGAATATCGCAAAACGGTATAGGACTTTTATGTTCACCTCAACCTGTTCTACGTTCCCAGAGATTGTGGGACACCCTGTATATGTATATATATATATATATATATATATATATATATATATATGTATGTATGTATATATATGTGTATATATATATATAAATATAAATATATATATATATATATGTATATATTATATATATATTATATATAATATATGTGTGTATATATATATATATATATATATATATATAATGTCTCAGACTGTGCATATTTTATGAGAACGTAGAACGGATTGAGGTGAACATAAAAGTCCCATACCGTTTTGCGATATTCGATATAAATCTCAAGATATTAAATAAAAAAGATTGATAAATAATCGCGCGCGATATGGTAGATGAGCTGCAGTAGCGCCGTCTACCGTTGTATACTTATACATTAGGCCAAACTGAACAAAAAAGTCCTTTATCACAGTGGCGTAACCAGGGAGGGGGGCTTAGGGGCCTGCAGCTCTCCCCCCGAAATTAATTTTTTGGGTTACGCTAAGTGTGAGAAAAATTTTTTCGAATGATCTTTTTTTTGCTCGTCAAAAATAAAAAGTACAGCCCCCCGAAACTTTTTTCTGGCTATGCCACTGCTTCATCATTTTGCAAATAATCACATAGATTTTTAGATATTAATTAAAGAAAATTTATACATTATGATACACAATCATGTAACAATTTTCTTTAATTAATATCTAAAAATCTGTGTGGTAATTTGCAAAATGATAGGACTTTTTTGTTCAGTTTGACTTAATGTATAAGTATACAACGGGAGACGACGCCACTGTAGCTTATCTACCATATCGCGCGTGATTGTTCATCAATTTTCTTTAATTAATATCTCGACTATTATTGCGAATATCGCAAAATGGTATAGAACTTTTATGTTCACCTCAATCCGTTCTACGTTTCCACCAAATATGCGGAGAAGAGTCTAGGACACCCTGTATACATAAATGTACTGTTATCTTCCAAACTATTATCTGTTACTGTTTGAAATATAAAAAGGAAAAAGAAAGAAAGAACTGCGAAGGACTGCGCAGTTTGCGAAATATTCTACGAATGTACGTTACCACATCGCCTATGAAATTCTCCACGTAATGAATGGAGGTATCTTCTGAGGGCATTTCAATTAAGCTGAACCGAGTCGGCGCGTGTGAAAAGTGTCTTTGTCGTTATCCGCCGGAATACCACGGTGTTATTGCGGAATCAACGTCGATGAGATGCGATTTGCCGAGACGAATCGTTGCTTGAAATCTGAGCTATTTGCAATTGCACCGTTGGAAATACAACGCCAATTAATTAATGTAACTTCGACCTCGGACGGCTTTAACGTTTGATCAGCGACGTATTAATGTAACGCGAACGATTCCAACGAACAATAACAGCCGGGAAAGGAGATCACATGTGAAAAAAATCTTTTTAGACCAGCGGAAATTTTTTTCAGAAAATTTCCACGCGCAGATTACGTGAAATAAATTCGCGTGCGAATCAATTTCGATCTAAACACGCTAGCACGCCTTTTGCTTGTGGGTCCCTTTTTACGACCGACTGTTTGACTCATCGGCCTGCTGGCAGGCTATTATTCAGTGATAACACTCGCTCAAATACACCGACGTACGTTATGCGCGGGGCAACAGATTATGGCACTATAAATAAGTGCTCCCATAATGATTCATTGCACTTCACGGAGCTTGCGCGAGGGAACGACGTTCGTTCGATATTCCCGATCCAAATTTTTTCCCGTATCTGAGAACCGATACAAGCGCGATTTTAACTCTTGAAAGACGGAACAGCGCGGAGCTGAACGCTTCATATGGCCGATGTTCGCCTGATCGTTTCTGTTCTGAGCAGATACATATACCCCACAACGACTATTTCCGCTGATAAAATATATACGCCCACATTGTGCTTATTTCAAAGGTTAAAGGAGGATGTTAAAAATTTGTCGAATTTGGCCCTATAAGTATAAAGTGAACCTTGAAGAATCATTGTTTGAGTCCTACGTAAGTACAGTCCACTTAGTATCCCTTGGCAGAGATCAAGACATCACTTCAAGTTCGTCACTTCTATGATATTTAGCGACTCCAAACCATCTCTGTCGTGCGCGTGAGATAAAATAAGCGAATTCACGTTTTGTTCGTACTTTTATCAGAATCTGATGATACACGAAAAAAAAGAACATTCTTTACAGAATATCAATATTCTCAACATGTTCATGTTGAAATGAGATTATATAGCGTTAAACAGAGAAAACTTGCTTACAAGAAATTGAATACAGTTCCACTAAAAATATAATATTCTCGTTATTCAAGAATAATTTTCTTGAATTAAGTATAATGAATATTGGACGAAAAGAACGATATTTTCAAACCAAGAATTACAATTTCTTTAATTTGAAATGATCTATAGTAAACTATTGTAATCTTACCATAACATTATGATATTGTTGAAATTTAAAAATATTAAATTGTTGTAGGAAAATAATATATTCTTGCCTATATTGCCTATATTTCATAGAAATATCGTATGTAATATTTTTAAATAATTTCTGTCCAAAAATGCTAAGCGGACTATACTTCCACGTAATGTACTTTTTAGTACGTAATGCACAGAAAAAAAGTAGTCCGCGATCTTTACATGCAGAATGTACTCACAATTCAGATCAGAATCATGATTTGCAATAATTAAAATTATATACATAGATAATGTCATTTTTTTTACTATATTTAAATCATTTATCTATGAAATCTATCATTTAAATCTTTTATCATTTATCTCCACAACTTTTCAGATAAATGTTTGTTATTTCCTGCCATTTGAGGACCCAAACAATGATTTTTCAAGATTTATTCACTTTACACTCGGAGGCCAAAATCGACACTTTTTTAGCATTCTCCTTTTACACACGACTGCAGCGAGAGAAACAGCGGAGAATTCGACGCCCCAAAGATGTCTTAGGAATCATCGTCTACGTTAATTATCTTTCCCCATTATATACTTTAACGCGGCTTTCTCACATCCAAAACAATACGATCTCCAATTGTTTCAAAGATTGCGGCAGAAGAAAAGACGATAATTTGGGAGACGACGCAAAACATCGATTCGGTATTCTTCGTTATCTTTCCACGAGGCGACGCGAAAATCCCAAAATAACTGCCGCGAGATATCTTCGCGCTGCAGCATCTTGTCTTTTTATCGGTCCGTAAAACGCGCTAGACAAATTTGTTTCTTGATAAATGCAACGTCACACAGGTGACACTCGCATCGGCACTCACGTATATATGTATATATATATTTCTCTCTCTCTTTCTGTCTTTTTCTCTCTTTCTCTCTATCTCTCTTCGTGAATAGTTTTAAACAACGAGGGCCAAGAAGAAGAAAGTCTTGCAGGAGCTTGTTGAAGCTCAAGCGCACAGATCACGACTGACAGCCATGAGGAGGTTTCATGGAGAAGCTCTATTGCCGGTTAGAACCGACATGGGAACGGAGAGGGAGAGATCGTTCGCGGCATTGGCCTCGATGAAGCTCCCTCTCTCGCGCGCACTCTCCCCCTTTTTTCTTGTAAATTTCTCTAACAATGAGACAAAGGGGAAGGGAGAGACCAACGGAGAGGGAGAGACTGCTTATTTACACATTAAAGATAACGGTTCAAAGGGAACAAGAGTAAAATGTAGAAAACGGTTGGGTAGCAGCACGACTAAACCGGACGATGCATCGAAATGAATAAGTTGGAAGGAGATTTTCAGGTAAAATATGATCGTCAGTGGACTCATACACTTTTTTTCTGGTTGAGTGAAAAATCGAAATAAGAAACCAGTAGTAGTAAAACATGAAACATGATTTCGGTATTGTGACTAGTCGAACGATGCGTGAGCTTGGTAGATTTTGCGATTAGATTCGATAAGACTATACACTGAGAAAAAGATACGTGAAAATTTATTTGTGATATATAAAAGTTTATTTTAGATCCTGTATCCTACAAATAAATTTTCAAATAATTTTCTTTCAGTGTTAGGAAAATAAAAAAAAATGTATATGAAAATAAAAATTACAATATAAATTTAATATAAAATTACAAATTAAATAGAATTTTGCAACCAAAAAATAGATCGACATTTTGCAATAGTTGACTATCTTTTCATTTTATTTGTGTTATTTATATTTTATATACTATTAAAAACTTGTCACGTTTTTAAAAAAATTTATTGTGCAACATAAACCTTGCTAGTAATTCATTTTTGTACTAATAAAAGCAGAAAAACTGAAAAAAAATTTATGTGAAAATGAAACTAAAATATTCTTTGCGCGTAATAATAACATAACTGAAGTCTCTTTTAATCGTATGCAAATTTTGCAAAAACAAATAATTTCAACTGCGCAAAGCTTCAACAATTCAAAAACATTTGTAATCAACAGAATAACATAGTTTTTTCAAGTCACATTGATACATTGAGTATATTAAGCTGATACTTAGCCATTTCGTAGAGCGAATCGTATATTGTTGAACATTGCGGAAGAAGTATGTTCGATTCAGAGGTCAACGTTACTTACCTGTAGGTTCCCTTGCTTTGTGGACTCTCGTAATCAATACGTCTGCGTTTATGCTCGTACGGCGATTCCATAGAACAATGTGAGCGTGTTCTCGAGTGGCTGCGAGAGCGGTGACGCCTCCTGCTTCGTGGCATCTGCAAGAAATAAAAGACATTATTATCTTCGCATTCTCCCATGAGTCTCTGTTCACGTTGCAGCGCGCAGTTTCATAAAATATACATATTTTCACATGTAGCTTTGCGATATCGATGAAATCACATTTCCACCACAGCTTCTCATCGAAATTTCTCGAAAAAGAAAGACAGACCGACAGAAGGACGAAGGAAAAAGGAAGCACGATAGAGTATAGTAGAAGCGGGTATAATAGAAACTTGAAGAACAACCTAGAATCGTACAAGCAAGACGCATACAAATTATCAATTTCACACGACAAAATTTGACAACTCGCTAGCCGTCGCTGGTAATGGATGGTTCCGAAATACCCAGAGTTGGGTCGAGTTGAGTTAGTTCCACTATAGTATATGTAACGGATACTATAGTGGAACTAACTCAACTTGACCCAAACCTGGACATTTCGGAAGCACCCATTAGGTTTGTTCGTGTCGTTCGCACTTTCTATACTTTCCTGGCGTGCTGTTTATTTTTTGTCTTTTCTTTCTTTCCGCTATCTCTCTTTCTCGTTCGGGAACCGCGCTTGTCTCGTTCTAGAGCGACAGGAAAATTGCCTCTACCTGCCGTGTAGAAAGTGTATACGTCTGCGAACGAACCCGTACAAGCGAAAGGATTCGACATTCCCTCCTCCTATTGTCCGGAGGAACGTTTGCCGTGCGTCGACCGAGTCACTCTGCTCGACTTCCATTTTCCGTCCGTATAATGGGCAAGATAGGAACAGGGACAGGAGATGGTAATTTGGAAAGAGAGAGCGAATCGTTAAGAGCAAGACTCGTCGCCCCGGACAAGTTTCAGCTCACGGAGATAACATCGACGACGATTAGCGTCAATCCTGATTAATTTAATTTTCTTGCGCCGTCGATTTCACTATTGCTATTACACGATTCGAGCGGTGTGTCGGCTTTATAAGCGTTAACGTGCGATTATTTCCTTAACTGACTGAACATAATGATTCGGACAAAAGTTACTACTTCCTTCAGAAGAAAATCGTATGCAATTTTCTCGTTCCATATTTTAGTGCGTTCTATAAGGCTATCTGAAAATCTATTTAAGCCTTTTTGAGTCAATCGACATCTCTATCTTTCTCTTAATATTATAAGACTTTACAGCGAATTATTGAATTTTAGGTTGTAAATATTAGTGATTTTGACCTATATTTCAATACAAATAAAAAAATGTTTATAAAATAAAAATATCAATGCTCGGACATGTAACTGATTCTGGACATTTTCTTATTAGTTTTTAAATAGAAATATTTAAATTTATATTTTGTATTTAAAGACCAAAAATGCAAATTTAAAGACCTAAAATTACAAATTTAAATACAAATATTTAAATTTTCAATATAAAATGTGTATATTTTGTTTTTTTATTTTGAGCATAAAATATATGTATATACTTTACGCTAGAAATTTAAATATTTGTATTTAAATTTCTAATTTTTGGTGTTTAAATTTTAAAAAGTTTAGATCAAGAAGGTTTCAATATACATATATTGTGTTAAAAATTAAAATATTTGTATTTAAGGGCCAAAACAACTAGAATGCCCAGAATAAAGATTAAGTTTGAGAATTGGTACTTTTATTTTAATTACTATTGCTTCATTTTCTCCTATAAAAAGAAGATTAAAAACGTTAAAGTCGGCTACAAATGAAAAAAAATAATTAACTGACCTCAGATTGGCAATAACAGACTGCCCAATACTACTAGTAGTAGTACTATTAGTATTGGCAATCTAAAGAACAAAATTTGATGATGTTAAGTAGTTTGCTATATCAAATCTGCATACATTGCGTTGATTTTCTTATATTTCTCACGTTTAAGGGTCCTATATCTCGTTGCAGCCATGTTGGATTTGTGACGTAAGAAGCGAAGGAAAGGGATAATTTTCGAAAAATTTTACAAGTGTGCTCGAGCAATATCAAGTGCTCTTTCGTCTATATTTATCTTTATTTAGAAATGGCACGCAACTGTTGTCAGCGTATCATTTCTCGCCTTTTACATCACAAATCCGACATGGCAGCGAGAAGGAGCCTTAGGATGAAAGAAAATACACTCAGACATTTTAAATAAAAGAAGGGAAGAAAAGCAAGAAGCACACTGAGCGCAGTAAGAATAAATGAATTAGAGAAGCATGCGATCATTGCGTAAGACTCCAGTGAAGAGCCTTTTTAAAGCATTTTCAACAGCTCAAAGACAGAATTGTGCGCACGTGTTAGAAACGAGGAGGTACACGTCGCACATGACGCAACGGCACAGATCTAGAGGACGAATCGGTTTCGAGCCACTATGTGCGGTTCGAGTGTACATGCGATTGAAGTTCATGAAGACGAGGTGAGACAAGATGGAGGGTACACACGAAGACCGACAAGCGCGAACCGAAACGTACGCAAACTTCGCTGAGGAGTCGCGGACAGTTCGAGCCAGTGTCTCGCGGAGTCTAGAAAAACAGGGACAGTACGACCAGACAGACAGAGATGCGCGATAATAGCGTAGTTGAAAAAAAAAAACAGATAATATTGTGTAGGAACCGTTTTCTCTCTCTCTCTCTTGTGTCATACTGCGTGGGAAGACGGGCACATACTTACGTTGGGAAGACGAAACAGGCTCACTTGGTTCCAAATGAAATCGAAGACCGACGATATCCAGGAGCGTGAGGATGATGCTTGCGGTATGACACTGTTTTTCGACAACGACGTGGACATCGGCTCAAAAAATTCTGCAAAACGTGGGCAGAAGACGCATTCGTCAAGGCGTTACTAGAGGCACGACACCACACCGAAGATTAGATCCGCACCGTGGCGAGACGACGGCGGCGGCGGGGAGGAGGGGAGGAGAGGAGAGGAGAGGAGAGGAGAGGAGAGGAGGGGAAGAGGGCAAGGGCGGGGCGGGACGGAAGAGATAGAGAAGAGAAATAATTTCGGAAAAAACCGGACGAAACACGCAACGACGAGAACCGATAAACCGATGCCAAAACGAGAGAGAGGTCTCACGACGCGACACGGTGCAAGCTGAGACGCGAACGCGACGATATGCATTGCGAATACTTCCAGAAGAACGATCCCGCCAAAACACGCGTCGGAAATAAATGTGCGCGAGCGGAAGTCGAGCGCGGAGGATAACGCGGCGACAGAGCGGGATTGAGACGACGTGCGAGACGACTGGGTATGATCGATGAAGCGTACGAGAAACGAAAAGTTAGGTTAGTATTTCGGTACGAATATAGGTGCGCGTGGCTGACTTCGTGGCCGGGATCAATGACGGCACGGCTGGCCGCCATCGTCGTCATCGTCGTCGTCGTCGTTGTGCCTCGAAGACGACGCAGCCGAGCCAGCGGAGACAGCTCCAGGCTTTGGTCGCAGTCAGACCCGCGAGAAAGACGTCGAGCGGGTCGCGCGCGTGACAACACGCGTCCCCGCCGACAATTTGAAGCGAGGAGGAGAGAAGCGTAGAGGAAATTGCGCGAGAACGCAACGGGCACGCCATAAGGATACTCTGTGTGAGCTACCTCGGCGGCCATCTTGAAGTAACAGACAGTGCATTAAGTAGGAGGCGAATGCAGCACACACGCACAGATATCCCATTCGGGATCCCGACAGGTTTGATCTCGTTATCGTGATGCGATAGATTGATGCGATTGCGTGATAGTGACTTACGTCGGGAGATGCGGAACAGGCTCGGTTGGTCCCAAAAACGAACTCGCTATACACAAAATGCCCAACAGCACGACCGTGTGCGACGTACAATACTGTTGTGTGACAACGACGTGGACGGCCGATCGATGCGATTGGCGAGCCCTCTTCGGCTAGCCTCGGCAACTGTCGGCGAGCCAGGGACGGCCCTACGAGCTTCACTCAGGGGCGCCGTGCACTCGGTTGCTAAACGGTTTTTACACGTTTTTCAATATTATCGAATGAAGTTGCAAGCTATACAATTGAAAGCTGTACTGCTGATATGCGCGCGTAGTAATCGGTCTGACAGGTGTCGAAGTGATAGCACGATCCACTGATTAAGTGCAGCAGCACTTGTTCTCGATCGAGTGTCGCAAAGTATACCGTATCCAATAGGAAAGCGTATCTCTTAAGAAGTATTAAGAAGCGAGTTCTCCTATTGGACACGAGATGCGTTACAAAACTCATCGAGAGAAAGTATTACAAGCTTTCAAAATCAGCTGACTGTACAATGTGGAATCTGGGAGACAATTTATTTGAAATTAAGGGAACACACATCATCTCGGAAAATAATTTTTACACATTTATAACCAATCGTTGCGCATACGTTAGCAATTGCTTTCAATTTTAATTGCTTGAATTGTTGCAATTTTATTCGACAAAAGTGTGGAAACTGTTTAACAACTGAGTGTACAAAAAACCATTTAACGACTCTTATCAATAATTTCGCATAATGACGTAAATGATATTCAACGTGCTTGCGTTATCGATGTTCTCATTTTACGTCTGTTTTATCTCGAAGAATTTCCTGAGCCGGTATACACAGGTGTAATAAAGTCCACTTTTATCAAATTACGGTTAAACTAACCGTTTCAGTAATCTTGCAGGATCCAAATTGAAGATATTGTAGGAGGAAACATTTTTAACTCCTTATCTTTCATTTTCTTCTCCAATAGCAGCTTTAGTTGGAATCTTGCAAGATTACTGAAACGACTAATTTAACCAAAACTCCGTAAAAGTAGCCCCAATAGTGAATTCGATCACTAGTGCGCACTGAACTAGTGCCTACTAATCCCTTGCCCACAACCTTGCTTTAATCTTTAAGCCGTAATAAAAACGTATTATTTTAAAAGTAATCAACTGTGGTTAGTAAATTTCTTAAAAATTAAAGCAAGGTTGTGGACAAGAGGTAAGGCTTGTTCACAATCCGCTCTTTTATTTAAGATCGTTTTAAATATTTCAAATACTTCTTATTTAGTAAAATTATCTGTACAGCATCTGTACGGGTTATTTTGTTGGTTAAAAAATTTTTTGAAGATGTATTTACGACGACCTTCAATATAAGAACGAACTATGGACAACCCTTAATGCATTACTGCAAACAGCCGAATTCGCTACAAAGACTATCCTTATCTCACTCTAACTTACTGTACCAGTGCACACCGGTCCAGGAAGTTCTTCAAAAAAAAAACCCGTTGTTACACACTCGGTACTTGAGATAGAGACAAACACGAGATCCAACGAGATCTGGTGGGAAAAAGAGGGAAAATGAAGGAAAATACAGAAAGTGCAGCTGAATCGAGCGAAAGCAAGTTACTGGACGCAACAATTCAAGTGCTGCCAATTCATAGAGCCGGCCTTGAGCACAGCGCGAAACGAGACGAATGCGCACGAAGTCAACCGGATTTCGACCGTAACTTTCGACCAATGGAAATCTCTCGACTGACGCGGAAAGATTCGTTGGAGCACGATACGAATAACAGTACGATAATGATCAGGGCCGCGATACAAGAAGAACACAAACAATGGATGAATCGATCAATAATAATCGAGCAATATTTGCAATTCTAAAGTAGCTTTATATTTTCGGGGATTTCACACGAATTCGAAATATGGTGTAATGTTGAAGTCATAATCCCGAAATTCGAATCGACTGAGTTAATTTCCCAAAAAACAATTTTCCTGAAATATTAAAAGTTGTTTTTTGAAAAATCTGGGTATTTGAACTTCGAGTTTATAGTTTTTTTTAAGGACATTGCTTAGTTCCAATATTTGAAGAAATTTCTTCGGTATTCTAATTTCACTTTTATCATTTTTCATGACATTCATTTTTCTCTGTGTTTCAGATTTCTATGATAGATTTTGGGAGACAATGTGTATGTCCAACATCTGTCTGAGTTAATCCAAGTTTCTCTGTAAAGCACTAAAAGATCGCAGAAAAAAAAGAATTCGAATATTCACTAAAGCACGTGTTGAAGGCGTGTTTTTACTCACACTCTTATATAATGCTTTTTCTCGACTGCAGATAACGTTAACCGCAGTGATAAAACGATACGCGTGACGATTAGGTGAGAATTTCGACGACCATTCGATAGCACTAAAGTAAAAAAGGAGAGGATATCCCACTCGGAATCGTCCGATTCGAATTAAATCGGAAATCTAAGAGCTAATTAATACATGTTAACACGAAATCATTCTTACTGTGAGACATCTCATTCAACTACTCAGCCAGAAATAATTTGTCGAAACAAACTAATGTCGAGAGTCGCGATTCCCAACAAACATAACCAACATAACATTACATCAACGTTATAGTTTCCCACTCAACAATGTAACTTTTACATAACACTTGCATTATAATGCATTTACATTATCGAATAGGAAATTATAAATTGATATTATACGTTATTGATAATTGGTGTTTATTGGGTTCAAAGTTGCGTTGATATTTCAGTATCTTTTAGCAACAAAATGTCGCGTATATAGAGAGTTTAATTGGCTTGACTTATTTTCTTATATTTTATGGGTATATATTTTGATGCGATTTTATATTCTTAAAGTTTTTCATTTAAAAGCCGTATTATTATTTTGGTATTGTCTCGATGCTTGATCTTAGTAGTAGATACACAACAGATCTATGAGGCCCTATCATCTGATTCTTTATGTAGCAACTTCTTGTTTTGAAAATTACCAAAATATTAACACAAATTAGCAACTGAATTAGCAACTGTCGACATTAATCACGTCGAAGTGACGTTTCGACGAATTGTTTCTGATTAACTCATTTATATCTTACGTTCCATTGGCGTGTATTACACCAGCGTATCGTTCTGATTGTAAGAGCCTCGCATACCTGTCTCCAAGTCCACTTCGTGAGCAACCATTCAATGCCGTTCCACACAAGATTCTCTATCATGTGCCAAAACATAATTAGTTTTGCGAAGGATTACAGTCGATGGCACGAGTTTGACACGCAATCGGCATATATAAGTACACATTTGCTGTTTAACGAGGCACACATGGATGCAAACGTGTGACACAGTTGCGAACTGATGAATCGAAGAGGCACTCTCGTAGATGGCACCACACCGTCACACGAGAGCTCGACGGGAGCTGCAGCTTTATCAATTTTCGGCCTAACAGTAGCTAAACGGATGCAATCTCACGTAAACCAACAATGTAGTATAAACTTTGCAAAGTCTAACGTGATACCGTTTAACCGGAGAATAATTCAAGCGACGTTTCTTTTGTGTGCCGTAACAAATAAATATTTATAACATGATAGAGAGAGAGAGAGAAACAAAAAGTTATACCCAGGTAGCAGATTCACGTCAAAATGACGTCCAAATCTGGTCAGTTTATGACCAAAAATGACCAAGGAATAACCAAAAATGTTGTGAAAATGTTTTAATGACGTCTCTAAACGTCAATAATATGTCATTAAGACGTTATACAGAAACGTCATTAAGACATCACAAAAAAGACGTCTTAAAGATGTCATTATTTAGTCACTTGACGTCAATCGATCAGTTATGACCAGTTTTTGACGTGAGTCTACCACTTGGGTAAGGTGTAACACACAATAGTGTTTTACGAAACGAGACAGGGAATAAACATTTTTGTCAAAAGAACTTCAAAGAATAATTTACGAGTCTCGAGAATGCGAAGTTAAGTTTGAATTACAAAACAAACGTACGCGCTCTTCAACGCGCGCGAACGTCTGTTTCATAATTCGACTCAAATATTTTCCAGAGTCGGGGGAAGTGAGGAGGATTCACTGGAGGTCGCAAAACGACATTCTGTATAACGGCTATGCGAGAAATTTATTTTTTTTTGCCGAATACGAAGCTCATGGTGCATTTCACGGTTTGAGAACCAGTTATAGCGTAACATAACGTCGCGTGTTGCGCTGCGCTTACCTGGGTTATTACACCGAACGAAATGTACTTTGACCGATCACGGGAGAAGAAATTCGCCGCTGTCGTCGTGATCGCAACCTCCGGAATCATCCATAATTCCCTGCAGGTCCGCTGCAACAAACAATTCCCGTTAAACTACATTCTTCACATTGCTACTCCCGACAGTAATAGAAAATCATATTGTGTAGCTAATAGAAATATCAGTCAAATTGACACCTTTTTTGATATTCTATTGCATTCTTATGGCGAAACACATCCGTGAGATATACTGAAAATATAAAACACTTAAAAATTTATATTTTTGGAATATAAAGTTTATTGACAAAAATAAACTTTATTTCACAGAAGTAAACCTTAAATCCGATAAATAAATGTCTAATTATTTTTTCTCACTATACTTATTCCACTAATAATATTCGAGCGAAATTTAAAAGAAGAAAAGAATATAATTGTCTCTTTAACACTCCAGACTTTCAAACAGACTAATGCTCGTTACTGTGAAGCTATACCAACTGATAGTAAGCATCGCGGTGAAACATTTTGTCGGGATGAAACATTTCGATATATTTGACGCAGACAGAGATACGCTTTTTACCACTGTCATCTCTTGGCAATGGAAGAAGTTTCGCGTGACTGCGAAAGAATAAATCTTCGTTCATAGTCGACAGAACGTCGATAATTCGAATGCAAGCTCGATCGTCGTGCACGCAGACGCCATGTCTAGCCCGGGTGACCTGAATGGACTTGCGTCAATGGGTCATAGCACAGCCGCAGAAACAGGATCACAGCTGAGTCGCATTGAGTCAGCCCGAGTTACACCGAATTGATTCTGAATTAATCTCGCGGAGTTAATGAGTCTTTGGCGTTGTACCTCTTTGAGTTACGATGACACGTACACAGTACAAGCGAGGTAGGACAGTCAGATTAGTCGGAGCAAGAGTAAACGGAAAAGACCTTTCGATGGGACATCGTGACCTGGCAGAGAAGAGCCAAAATTGTTTGGCGAAACGCAGACGTGAGCGCGCAAGAATGCACGTTGACGACTATCTAATGAAAAATGTCAAACATGCCGATCCTCCTCGGATCTTTCCCAGCGGCGCAACTGAACAGGGGTTGAAGTTGTTGTTGAGATCAACTCAGGAGGATAATTGGACGTGCACGGGCTACCTGCATAGCGAGACACTGCGGTCGGTCACGACTACCCGGAGCTGCTGAATAGCGTGGCACGCCGCGGACGCCCCTCGGGGAGGACAGCCGAGAGAGGAGGAAACGCAGCGCGGAACTTGCACACATTTTAGTCCCGCGCCCGCGTGACACTTACCAGGAGTAGTCGCTGTAGGTGGTGCGCCTCGTCTCCAACTGGCGCTTGCGCGGTGACGTCGACGCGGTTCAACCCTGCGACTGCGACATGCGGATGTTTCGACGACGTCGGGTGAAGGTCGTCGGCGATGGCTGTTTCGGGAATTCCGATATCCGTGATATACCCTTGCACTTGTCTTGAGAAATCTAATTTAAACGGTCTTGCAAGATACCAGGTCAATAAGAGCCCGAGACGCGGGTATACGTGTGTAAATACGTAGAGAAAAATCAAATAAACCACATATTTGGATCCTCTGGATCTTCTTCGGTGAACTGGACAAAAGAAACGGAAAATGATTACAGAAATGTAAAAAAGAAAAAATAAATGAATAAAAGAGACCTGGTTTGCAAGTTTCAATATTTGAAAGTCTTTATTGCTTTAAACAGTCTACAAAGCATGCTGAAGAACTCGCAAGCTTAATGATGAATCTTTGACTAATTTGCTTTTTGCATCTGATCTTTTCTTCGCGGAGAGAATGCAGAGAGAGAGAAAGAGAGAGAGAGAAAGATTATCGATTTTATAATTTCACAGTTGCCGTTGCCTCAACATTTTCGCTAAGGAAACATCAATTATAAATAGTACGTGATATATCATGACGTATCAAATCATATATAGAGTTTTGACACGAATTTTAGATCGAATTACAGTTATTCGTGCACGTCAGCGAGTTATAGATCGCCTGAAATGGGTTCCCTCAGGGAGGGAAAAGGCGAAATTCACCGCATGTACGTTTCGCCGTTGTAATTTCGCTGATCCCGAGATTGAATAAAGCAAACTTACAAGCCGGAAGGCATCTGCGGATCAGAAAACGTGTCTTTGACGTCCGTGTCTTTGACGACGACGGCCGCGTAGGATGCGGGGAGTCGTCGACGAAGGTCTAGGTCGTGTGTTCCTACCGTTTCTTGGGATTTTGAGTGACTGACGTTCGCCGATACGACGCGCTCGAACTGAAAACAAATTACAGTGAAACGACTGTCTTGGCTGTCACATAGTCACTTGAACGTGACTGAGTTCAATAGTCTGCATAGCGGATTCGATTGGTCGCAGCAGTGCGCATTGATGCACCACCCTAGAGACCATCTTAAATACGTATGAGTATATATTCGGCTTCACAAAACGGGTGGAACATCACCTTTCGACGCGGTTTGGACCACCTTTCGACGCAGCCGATGGTCCAATGAAAGGACTTCTAGAATGGAGTTAATAAGTTCTTAAAAATAAGATTTGTAAAAATATCATTTGTAAATATGAAGTTTTCACAATTTAATAAAGAATTTTATTTGAAAATGGCACGCAAAAATTTTTGGTATGAATTTTCTCGTTTCTGACGTTATCAATCCACGGTTGCGTAACAATGGGACCAGAAGCCTTAATCGTCAATTAAACATGATAGTTAATTAATTAATTACTCGCAAATCTGGTTTTCTTATTGGATCATCGGCTGCGTTTCAAACTACATCAAAAACAAAATGCTCCAATCGTGTTGAAACCAAGCGTACACCTAAACGCAAAATCGCTACAAAATCAAATAATTACGACAATCACATTGCACAATCGGACCTAGATGACGCTCGCGCTACAGAGAAAATTGGCCGTGAATCAGCTGTGAATGCGATACCGCACGCTCGATTCGCCGCTTAAGCTCGAAATAGTTTGTATACCGTGTATAATGCATAACGCAAGCCGCGCGGTGGGGACAGCATCCGGCATCGCGTGCCACCTCGAAAACACCCCCCAAGTCCCCGAAATTGTGTCAATAGGTCACGCGTGGATGATTTATGATATCTTCCGCATTTGGAACACAGCTGGACCCGCAGTTAGAATTACAGTTACGTACCAGACGCAATATGTCTTTTGCATATTTAATCCCGATGAAGATAATACTTTAATTTACGTAGAAAATTTCTCTATCGCATGCTTCCCAGTATTGTCACGACATTCAGATGTTCATCAAAACGATCGGAAAGCTTGCAACAAAGTGCAAGCGAATGATCGATTCGTATCGACGATTACGAAGAATACGAGAGTGCTCACGCTATAATTTGGAGAGAAACGTTACTATTCATGCCGTCGCGCGGCGGCGATGAAGCGGTGCCAGGAAAGACCTTTGCGGTTAGACAGATACGATATCTCTGTCAGAAACATGACAGTCGGAAGCTCCTGTTTTCCACCGGAATTATGAGCAGTTAACGCATTAATTATTAAGCACTCTAAGCGCGAACCTCTGTGACGCGCTGCGAGATCGCGTGATGGGGTGCCTCCTACCGTTCGAGCGCAGTGTGATGGGGATCGATGCGGTTGCCGTGGCGACGGGGCCATCAGAGAGGCCGAATCGTGCGCGGATGACGGCTGCTGCCGGCGGCGAGGAGGCGACGGGGTGACGGCGGCGATGGCGGTAACGGTAGCGGTGTTTGGGGGTGAACTCCGCGCGACGCGACGACGATGCAGTGACGACGTCGCCGCCGTTGAGAGCTCGTTCGCTCGGCTCTCGGAGGGCGACCTCGTACCTCGTTCGCCGCCTCTCGGCGAACTCTCTTCTTCTGAGGCGGCTGGTTCCCCGCGTTCGCCGTTGCACGACGCCGTTCCGATCCGACGAGCGGCCGCGCCATGCGGAGGCGGTGCCGGGTCCGCCGACGTGCCAGGACACCGACACCAGGACGACGACGACGACGACGACGACGGACAGATCGCGGCAGCGTCAGGACAACGGCGACGACGACAAAGGGAGGATGCATCACAGTGGGTCCGAAGAGACGTCGCGCCAGGACGCAGCAGCCGCTAAGGTCTTGCTGCTGCGACGATGGAGCGACATGCCGCAACATCTTCAATTTAATCCGCATATCCTTACCGGCTACAGGCCGCTCATGACCATTCGCCAGTGCCTCGGCAGCCTCTTCTATATCCACAATGAGACCGTCAACATCCTGACGCACGGTGAGTCTGCAGCTGATACATCATGCTTGTTGCGGGTTTCTTCCCGTGTCGTCTTCTCGGAAAACTTAATTCCAGTGGTCGATTGATAAATCACTAGCAGCACGAATTCCTGAAAAGAACGAATACTCGTTAATTGAAGGCTATAATCTATTAATTGTTGTTTCCAAAGAGATAATTTATTACTAAAATTATTACGTTCGCTATACACGACTTTTATCTGAAACAGAGAAGTTAAATCGTTTAATTTCTGCGAGAACGGACAGTTATTTAATCTTCCGCGAGTACGATGTTGCGATTAACTTTGTGTGAATTTGTCTCATAACGTGCTTAGGAAAGAGTTATAAAAGAGTTATTACGCACGAGTTTATGTGGATCCTCGATTTGGATTTGGATCAAGCGAGACGACTTTGTGCCAACTACCTTGTTTGTATTTCGCGCAATAAATCGAGTATAATCCTTGTTAAACGAAGTTAATTATATGACGATGTCCTATTATCCTTCATTCGATCAGCTGTATGTTCCCTGAAAAATAATAAGGTAACGTAGTTATGTAATGCACAAGAGATTTACCATCTCCGTAATTGAATTAGCCAGAAAAGAGGATTAAATCCTGCAAAGGCTTAAAGTCAAGGTGCACACTATCAAGGCCAACTTCCGTGAAAACATTGCGCTCATCGAGGACGCATTGCAGAGTAACGGACGATCGATGAGAAAGGAACTCGTACGATATCCCTGCTGAGGCTAATTCATTGATGAATTTCTGATAATACCAACGTCAATCAGATGCTTCCTGACGCTTGTTAAACGATTTATCAGTCCTCACACACGCGTGCCTTAAAGTTACACAAGAAAGCTTTCGATCGCGGATTCGATCTAACGATCTGACGTCAGAATAAAAAGAAGAGAAAATGGTATTCGCGTGAGTTTCGTGTTTTGCTTTTCGATTCGGAATTTAACAGCGCGCTGTAAATTTCTCTATCGCTTTATTTTCTAGGATATTAAGAATATACTTGTCGCGTAACCGGCAATTGTAATGTCTGTTACTGTTCAATTGAGGAAACTGCTCGCGCTCTTACGTCGACTACATTAAAAATTAACAGCGCAGATGAATAACGCGATAATGACATCGCGCGGAGATATGAGAGAAAGATTGAGAAGCAGTAGCATGTTGGTCGCTCATTTTCGCGCGATATTGTACGTTCGCATGCATTAGATAAACCGCAATAGCGCGGACGTGACAGCGCAACCAAAACTGTGGCAGTTTCGCTAGAGAGAGAGAGAGAGAGAGAGAGAGAGAGAGAGAGAGAGAGAGAGGGCATATATATAAATCTCGCGTATCGACCGGCGCATATGTGCGTGAAATAAAATCTTAGTAGGTCAGAGCTTCCCACGTACGCGAAGAGGCTCGTTAATATAGACTTAATTACCCTCCCGGGAAAATCGGGAGACTTTGCGCGTCCTTAACTTCGACCGTTCTTCTCGGTTACCACCGCGTCCGATGTCACGGCGCTACCTCACCATGGAATGTATGTCCCCAGGATTCGCTATTCTATACATGCTGGTGACTGTACCGTATCTACTTCCGTGGAACACGAAAGGAACGCTCGTGGGAATACTGTCTTGGTGCCATTTGATCGGCGCTGTCAGTCCGTGGGTCGGGTCCTTCCTATATCACCTCTTCATGAACGTAAACTATGACGAGGTCTTGTACAGGACGCTGCTGAAAGTCGACATGATCGGCATATGGCTGTGCCAGAGTTTCGGTGATTAATTTGTAGATGAAAGACCTGAAAAAAAAAAAAGAAAGACAAATACGTAATTCTGAATAATGATTTTTGAAGAAGACCATTTTTCCGATTAATTGACTTTCGAATGGGTGAGAGCCGGTCATGCCGCTTTTAAGAGTGATCTATAAAAACCGGCCGGTTTCCGTGGCTTTCGAAAATCGATTAATGCCGATCCCAATGGCGGATCTATTTTCTCGATTTGACGCACGATTTCTTTCAGGAGCGATACCGATGATGGCCGCGGCAGTCCATTGTCTCGCCGATAACGTCTGGTACTGCTGCATTTTTATTTATTGCTCCCTCAGTATGTGGGGACTTTTAAAGGTGATAGACTGTTCTCTGTACTCACGTCTAATCTGTCGGCGCTCCGTCGCGCAACGTGTCTATTAAACCTTTACATAATTCACAGGCGATGACTGCGAGATCACCATGGGAAAGACGTTTATGTTTTGCCCCGCTTTTCCTGATGAGGATGCTGGTTATGACGTTGAGATGTTTCGGTATCGGAGGTGGATCACCCGAGGCTCTCATCCATATAATATTGCAGGTATGACTCGAACTAATGCCTTGCAGCAGAAGATCCCACGAGATGCTCTTCTCGTAAATCCGTTGGTCCAGAAATCTGAAAAAAAAATCAGAAAATGTCAGAAAAATTAATCCATGCATATTAATTTGAATACATTAACACAACGCGCGCAAAATGTGCGATATTTTGCTGGGAGTCTCAGAAGGATAACGATTAAAGAAGCGCGGAATACATTTTCAGGATCTCATAGCTGTGATAGGTGCAACCATTGGCGCTCTCCGCATTCCAGAGAAGTGGATTCCCGGCAGATTGGATCTAGTGCTGAATTCCCATAACGTAATGCATGTGATGGTCGTACTGGCGGTATGCTCCATGCATACCGCAACCTTGAACGATCTCGCCTGGATGTCCGATCCGTCTACGTGCAACGGAACAAGCTCTCTTCTTCTTTCTCCGGGTCGTAACGAACTGTGATCGATCGAACGATGTGAAGAACATGCTTCTGCTGCAGTCTGTGATAAACCGAGCCTATAACAACCGGCGATTAGTCGAGCGCTTCGACATTTGGAGACCAGAAAGTGCTGAATTCTATAATAGATTTAGGAGTACAGATAATAAAAAAAAGGAATATATATATATATATATATCTATATATATATACAGATATATACATATTATACATATAACAGAGTTTAATACAGAGTTATCTGATTTATGCGATCATCTCGCGGGACAGTTTAAGTACAATCACGAGTACAAAGTACATACGGTTACTTATCATATCGAACGTCTAATGATAATTCCAGATCTATCCGAGATTGAAGTTGACGAGAATTGACGAATCTGGTGCAAGAAAGAAAAGATGAAATTTATTTGTGATTTTTGGCAGAAGATAATCAATACTTTAAGACAAGAACATTATTTATTAATTTCAATAGAATGAGAACTGATCAATCAGTGGAATTGTGCCTCACTTGTGTGTACACGATAATGCTCTTCTGGAAACAAAGAGGATTCCCCGAATATTTTGCACCAGACTCTTCAATTTATTCTGCGAAATTGAATTTGACGTTTCAAAATCAGTCGCATACACTTTACATTTTTTCAAAGTTTCTTTCTATATCCAATATTTCAACGCCACACTTTGTGTTATTCATAATTGAACTTCGCAAGGGACACTATATAATCCTAATAATAGAACAAATTCTTTCCATAGATAGAAACAAATGCATGAAGTTAAAGAATCTACGTCCAATTGCGAGCATTAGTTTTACGTAGAATGAATTTCTCTATTCGCTTTCTTTTATGGTTTTCTCTTTCTCTTACAGCTCATTCTTTACATGTGTGGTCGATCACCGGGAAAAATACAATGTTATCGAAAGAAAGTTGGGGAGAGTTCAATACGCAATTAAATGTGCTTCATCGACACCTAGTGAGAGAAACCTACGCATTAGGAGTGAGCTGGAAGGCGATATAAGCACATCAAAAATATGTTTATTGTTGTGGTACAATGATCCAGGATCTCCTAATAGTACGCAACACACACACACACACACACACACATACATTCAGGTGTCCATCTCTTCGAGTCGATACGCTTTATAATGCATCCATAAATCCTTTATAATGCAGCTGATAAAACTGTCTCGAAACGTCGACGAGAGTTTGTCCAATTATCCGTATTGAACTCGTAACAAAATTATTCTAAACCCGACTCTCTATTGCAACTCAGAGTTAAGCAAACCAGAGATGTAGACCTCGATTTACGGATAAATCGTTCGTATCATAAGGTAGTTAATATTGACACACGTTAATAAAGATCGACGAGTTCTTAGATATACGATTCCGTACGAGAAGTTACAATAATAGTGAGAGCAGTAATAGTATCGCAGAATACACTTCGCGTCTTTCTCCGACGAAGGTTAATGTACCTCTTGCATCTTGCACCAGACACCGTACATCCTTATATTCCCGTCGCGTAGATGAAATTGCGAACGTTTTAGCAACTCGCAACGTCCGAAAGATTTATTATACATAATTTTACTATGTACAATTAAACACACTTTTCGAACTTAACTGTGCTAAGGATAAGCAATAATTAATGAGCTATTAAAAGCAGAGACCGTTAAATTACATTCTTGAATATAGACACTTTGTTAGAACCTTAAGCGTACAACTTATTGTGAAAAAAAATAATATAAGGCACTGTGTTCGAGTGTGCTTAAATAATTTACATATATTAGACCTACAAAATAATTTATTTACGCCGCGATGTGATTGAATGCGTTGCCGTATTCAACGCAATTAACACACTTCGAAGGATAGTTGTGATTTACAGGTTGTATAGCGTACTAATAGAGACCGTTATAGAATGCAACGTGAGAGATATATGCCAGAGAAATAAAACATCTTTAAAAATATACTTTTTTTTAATTAATGATCCAAAGCGCCGTGTGCGTGCTAGCACACACACATATATAATCGAAATTAAATACCCGCATGCTTCACACTTTTACATTAATAGTTAACGTACTTCGACAATATATCCGCTCCATCCACGATTTTCGTCCGCAAGAATAAGAATAATGTTGTACTCTCGTCATTCGCGTATATTTTCATCACGATGCTTATTACTGCAACGGGGCTTCGCTCTCCTGAGTGTAACTCTTTACCCTGCTAAATTTAAGGGGCGGATACCTGCCGCCAATCGGTGACACCCTGAATTCCCTCACAGATGGTTCTTTCAAGCAAAGTTTCGCCTCATGCCCGTTTCTGTATTTCGTGAAAATACTGTAACTGACCCACTTTAGTTGCGAATTTACTCTTCTGTGATGATTCTGTATCTCGAATTCCTAAAGCGACAGATATTATGGAAACATGTATTGACTGCTTCTTTTATATTTTCTCATAATTTCTTAGCATATCAAAGTATTTGACTTTTTTATTACTTACAATATGAAAGGTTTGCTCGCCGCTGTCGTGTACCGGCTCCCTCTTATTCCGTCTGTATGTGAAATTGACTCCTTTAATTTCTTGCTTCTTCAGCATAAGTGTAACAAAATTGTCATGTAGTCGATAGTGCCCAATAAGAACTGATGAGTTGCGCGGCACGCGACTTCGTAAAGAATTCACGCAGCTTTGGGCCTCGTCAGTGGAGGTCAACATTAAAACTCTTCCCTCGGGAAAAAACCTAAATACAAGAAACAAAATAAGAGTAGGGAAGAAAATGGCGTGGATTCTAATAACAGTATCTAATAACATTTATGTACCTCAGGTACCTGAAGTACTCGACAAGATGCCATGGCCGGTAAAAACGATCCTGGAAACTGTTCTCCCCATCGCGAATGTAACTAGTTTTGCTGATGTAACATCCGTTGTATCTTAATCTAGGCCGTTGCAAGTACATATCCCTCCATGATTGGTACTTTGGCTCGCAGGTACCGCAGTTCACACCCCATACCCTGTCATAAATCATGTCGAAAATCGTGTCAGACGCTATAACGAGGGAAATTAACATACGCTGATGTATTAAGTCTATGCATAAGTTCTGGGGATTTTCTAGGCAACTTTGTCGAGCGTATCCGACAATAAAGTGTCGGATATGCATCTCTTTTTTCAATCAAATTAAAAATGTGTTTAAGTAAATAGTTATATGTAAGCTCGAATGCAGGTTAACTAACAGTATTAACGTGAGACATAAATTAGTTGAAAAAATTATGCATCTAGAATTTTATTGCCATCTAAATATGGCCTCAGAAATTTACACATAGATCTAATATTATAGGTGTTTACCTGACACAAGCCAATCGCCAGATTTCCTTGTCTCGCGCGGATATGTAAAACCCGCGGCATACCCTCGAAAACATCTCCAGCGATCGGAAATCTAGGTCGGAAGAAACAACCCATCGTAGAATGTAGAGCACTATTTCTGTTGGCAACGCAGATATATGTGTTGTCTGAAATTTACGTGTAGAAAATGAGGTTAAATTCCACAAAAAATATAAAAAAAAATACTTAAAAATCAAATAATAAGACAAATATACAAAAATGCAAATATTAAAAGGAATCATGTATGGACTGGTACTCATAGTTGAGTCTTATATTTAAATTGTTTTAAGTTTCCCTTCAGATACTCCATAGCCAATGAAATAATTTATAAATCATCTGAAGATGAAGACAGTCTTAAATATAAGATTTGACTATGAATATCAGTCTTAGTAATAATATTAAGGTTATGCACTTAAAAATATCTTTGAATTAGTCATGTACCTTTTCAATATTAGTCATAGATAAAACATAGATAAAATACTCACATTTTGCTCAAATTTCGGGAAACATACGCACTGATTGCGATTTACGATTCTAGACAATTTATTAAACAAGTCAGTTTCTTCTTCATCAGCCTCAAAGTAGGTGCCACTATCATTTGTTGAGAGATCATTGTTTAATGTGTCCAGGTTATCATCAGCATCAAATTTATCCCTTACTTTTGTTTTTGTTGATTCATACAAGCGAACTTCAATGTCAGGAACCAGTTGCACTGCACGCTTATAAAACTGGATGGCCTCATAAAACTTTCTGCTCTGCTCATGCTCAATGCCTTTGAGAAATAAATTCTTTGCCTAAAATATAGATAATTTTATAGACAAGATACTAAATATGGATAGATATTAGATTAGATAGATATTAGAAGAATAGACATTAAGTAAACAAAATGTGTTTTCTATTGTTGAACTGGCTGGATTAACTAGTTCTCTTCTCCTCTTTTTTCTACCAAGTCTCAATTATGCACTTGTTTCTTTTTAAATTCCATAAGCTATATACTAGTTCAGCAATAAAAAAACAGATATTTTGGAAGGTAGACAATATAACTTTGTTTACTAAATATCATTACCCTGCTCTCAACTGAGGCCTCATCACTGGTGACCTCAATATTAGGCTCTTTTGGTGAATATGACCTCGGTGTGTCACGCTTGGGTGATATTGTCAACTCTCGCTGCCACTGTTCCCTGAAAGATGTTAAGGCATCTTCAATGTTCGTTTCCTCTTGCAAGGAAGACGCCTCCTGATCGTCGCCTTCATCGGTGTCATCACTAGATCCACTGCAGTGGTTCTGCCAATGTATGAAGCAACAAATATTTTAATTTGCTAGAATCCGAAATGGGACAATGTTACAGGCTTCGACGAGCGAAAATGGACGAAACGCACGATGGGGATGATAATAATCCGCATGTGTTCATGAATGACGCAGCTCAGGACGAATGACGCAACATATTGTTGCCGACAATACATCGATATCGGCTCGCGACAAGGTTAGGGTTGCCGTCCGACATTCCGGCGCACGATTACGCGCTTATTTCGCGACGACAGTCGCTGCCGCTTGTGTTCTCACGTACCATTTTCACGTCCTAATCGGCCACGTCGGTCGTTTTCCCTCAGCGCATGTACTCTCGGTCGGAAAAGCGTACGACACAGCGAAAGCACAATTTCGCCAATAGTACCGCCGCCATGGTTCTCGCCTCTCTGCTTCGCGTTTTTTCGCTTCGCCTTTCCTCGGCGCGCCGACGAAGGTCGTTGCGCGAGCTATGTACGCTGCTCGACTCCGCTGACGCAACAGACATATCGCTCCCTTTACAATGTCGCAGTCATTATCGTAATTAATTATCGGGAGAATTATCGGCTCGCGTTTGTCGCACGACCCTTTGTTTATTCTCTCTTTGTGTGCTTCTTCGAGGAGACCTTTTAATTGTTAATTACGAAAGCAGTCAGCTTGATATATAAAGAAGGTGCTTTGAATAAATACGTGCCTGATGAATAAATATAAATAATGTAAGTGCAGGTATAGATGACATTGCATTAGAAAATATTTTTATAAGATCGGTTCATACCGATAAAGTAAAAGTAACATTGCTAATAGCGAAAAATTAATGACAAGAATGTTTTCAGCAAAACTGTGTTCTCCAGAAGATAACTTACTGAATGTTTTTAATAAAAATATGCTTTCAACGAGGTGGAAGACGTAAACGGCAAAGTTGGAAAAATTATTTGCCATGATTATTAGCTTTAAAAAGCATCACAAGATATGTTCAATTGACTGAAATATTATAAAACAAACAGAGTTACCCTTATTTTACCGATCACCTGGAAAACTTTTGTTTCAGTCATAACTTTTGTGCAGTTATAATAAACAGGCATTTTGTTGACACATGGCGCCATCAACTGAAGTTAGAATCACTTCGAGATCGTTACGAAATTAATAAAAGTAATCGTACTATATAAAGTAACAAAATCAACGTTATCTAACTTAGAGACTAATCTAGTGCAATCTAATTTAAACGATCTAATCTCTCTCTCAATATATGACTTCAGATAAGACGTCTTCCCCAACGCCAATATTCGTTAATAGGTGAGAATGTAGATTATACAGGTAATTACTATTCAAACGAAAATTTATAGGTTAAGTTTCAATCACTCAATACAGCAGCCTTTGGCGAACTTTTCTCTCTGTCTCTCTCTCTCTCTTTCTCTCTCTCTCTCTTTGTTTCAATATCTAGATCTTTTCAATCTAACTCTGATAAAATGTAATCGATGATAAAATGAACGAAATCGATCATATCGATTGTCGAAATCGTGAGTTCATCGAGAATCGAGTTTAATTGATTCGAGAGCGACCCAAATCAAACTTCAGTTGCTTCAAAATATGCGAGAACTACTTCAGTACGTTAAGTGCATCGCTCGTTTGTTCTAGGTTGATGAGATGCGAAACTTTTCACAATTTATCTTGATTCCTGCACTTTCCTTCTGGGAATATCGGAAGATGCCGAGGAATACTGGAGAACGCGAAGAAAATGGGTCACACGAACGCGGTGACGCGTACTCAAATAAACAGTCGAAAGTCGCGAGATACTGGACGGCGAAACCGCTAACCTAAGGTAACTGTTACAGTAATTGAACCTCGCCCCGATAATATTGATTTAATATTTCTAAAAAGGAGCCTTTGAAATCTTATTAAAAGATTTTTGGTAAATATGCAGTATAATGTCCCTATCATGAATTTTTTTTAATTTTGCAAATTTGTATATTTTTATGCGTAGAATTGATTTCTGAAAACGAAAATTGTCGCTCACTTTTCGTTTTCTTGTTTTTTTAATTTTATGTTCATACATACTTTTCTTTTATGCTTTAATCAAAGCATAAACTCTGTTATAAAGCAGAGAATAGTTCATGTATGCTTTTCTCTGCTTTAATCATATACACTATCTTATAAAACTTAATAATTACCTTTTTATGCGGATTAAAATTTAGATCTAACTGTACACACGATTACAACGTTCTCGTTATACATGAACTATTCTCTGTTTTATAACAGAGCTTATGCTTTTTATTAAAGCAGAGAAAAGCATGTATGAACAATTTTCTGCTTTATAACAGTTTATGTTTTTGATTAAAGCAGAGAAAAGTATGAACTATTCTTTGCCTTTATTTTTTGCTTACTGACATCATAAAACATAAAATTAAAAAAACAAGAAAACGAAAAGTGAGCGACAATTTTCGTTTTCAGAAATCAATTCTACGCATAAAAATATACAAATTTAAAGTTTGAAAAAAATCCATGATAGGGGCGTTACACTGCAAAATTACCAGATTTTTTGTGCACAAAGAAAAAGAAAATTTATTTGTAGGATATAGATCCAGATAGCACAGAGAATTGAAAAAAATTTAATCATATGTCACCAATTCTGAGTTCATTTTTAGTGCAAAAAGAATTCTTTTCATTGAACTAAACTCTAAAGAATTCTTTTTGCATTTGAAATAAACTCAGAATTGGTGACATATGACCGAATTTTTTTAAATTCTTTTTTAATTCTCTGTGCTATTTGGGGACTTTATTCACAGAGAGATGAATTCTATTTCCTAGAAATAAACTTTATATACTACAAATATATTTTCAAATATTTCTTTACCAGAGAGTCAAAAAAAATTTGTGATATTATTTATATAACCATTCATTAAGTTTGTATTATTTGATAACTAGAACATGATTTATTTTTCAGATCAGTTATCGGTAGCAGCATTGTTTAATATATTCCATCAAAATTATAATTATGTATTGATTATTTTATTTCTTATTATTTTTCGACCGCTGACAAAGTTTTATATAAACGTTAGTTTCCTTAATAATTCCTTCCCATTATTTATTCATAAACATATATAATTGATCGTGCTTTCTTAATTAATTCAGCCATTGGGACATTTACCGTCTGGTTGTACTTCATCTGCGACACATATACGTGTGACCAAGTACGTATGCGTGTTAACAACAGTGAGATACCAACGATGCGACCCCACCTCCTTCTTGAAACTATCACTGCCTCTACCTGCCTGCCTGGCTGCCTACGAGATCATCTTCCCAAGTAAAAGCCGAGAACCGAACGAGCGTGGGCACAGACAGCATCATGCGCTTGGTGAGTACAAAACCATTAATTCACTTCTGATTACCGCTTTCCCACCTGGCTGAACTTTCCTCCGATTTTCTCTTCTTTCTTTCGTCGCGCCTGACTCCTTCGCCGCGCCGATTTCTTCTTCTTTCTTTTCAGTTTCCTTTTTCCACTTTGTTCGCGATTGTGGATTATGAGTCTCCTGCCAAGTGATAGTGAATCGACTAATATCTATCGACGAGTGCAAAGTGTTCTGCCTTTAGGGGAAAGCCCCGTGTAGATCGTGTCGAGGCGCACATTGTGATTGAGAAGATAAATTAAGCGTTTGTCTGTGTGATAATTAATCGAGGCAAATTTTAATTCGAAGACTACTGTATCGGCGTTTGCTCCGACGTTTCGTCGATCGATTGTGACCGATTTGATAGCACAAGTTCGTTTCCTCGCGAATGTAAAGTAAATAATATTCCGCGAGGAAGAAGGATCGAACGTCGCGCTAGTTTTGAGTCATCGATCAGAAGGAAGCGAGAAAATGAGAGTGATTCGCGAGTACAAAAAGTATCCCGGTGACGAAGCGCGCATTTGCATTGATATTCGAATAGATATCGAGTTTCTATCCGGAGGAAATCCGCGACACGAGCATTTCACGATGGCCACTTTCTTCTTCCGTCGTATGTACTGCGATTCCCAGATTCGCGAGCGTATACGTGCCGTTCACGCGCGGAAGAGTAGCTTTTCTACTTAACGGCTCTCCGTCGTCACTTAATCGGTTGTCCGATTAGCGCGACCTACCGCTTGCGACTTGTCAATTAGCATCAAACAATAATTTCGGCGATTTCGCCGCTGTCCAAACGCATCGCTTCCACGTGCGTGGACACATATTGTTAGCGAATTACGAGCTCCGATATCTCGGGCGCGAAAGTACTGTCGCGTTGTGAAATTTGTATGCAGTCCGTAGTGAAGTTTCACATGTTTGTGCAGCGATTTTACTCTTTGTGAATCATTTTCATCGAATCTTCCCTCGAATCTTTGCAATGGTGTATCGGTTTGTTTCTGAAAATTTGCGCTGAATCGCTAATACAATTTCACTTAGGCCCGTATTCTGAGTTCTTTTTTAACGATAAATGAGCCTTTAAGGCTTAGTTGCACCAACATTATTTTGGCTTTAAGCGAAACTTAAACATATATCTATCTTTTATCTTTCTTTTTAAGTAAATGGAGACATATATTTAAGTCTCACCAAAAACCAAAATAACGTTGGTGCAACCAGGCCTAAAAGAGGCTCAGGAACCACCTAATTGGCTGAGAAGCTATATTTAAGGTACTTTTATCGATAAAAGAGGATTCAGAATATGGGCCTTAGTCTCTGTCTCGCTTCTTGAGGATTCGCGATGGCTAGCAATAACGGCTGTTGAGATCAACTATGGGAGAAATGAATGGGCGAATATTGTTCGTTGTTTTATAGCCACTGATTCGGAGATTAGGTTCGGATAGAAGAAGGGAGAAAAGAAAGAAAGATCACATCTCGCGGGCTGAAAGATTCGTCTGAATCGCGTCGGCTTCATGCTCGTGACCGCGAATTCAGCGTGAAGCGTTGGCTCGTTACGAGAATCGCATTAACGAAGTAGAGTGCTCCGGCGAAGCCGCTGGACCGTCCAGTAGATCAATTTCTACTCGCACACGAAGGGATCGCGCGTAAAACACACGCGAACACCCCGTTAAATATGCTTGTAAATAATAACTGCGCTTCTAACGACCCAGTTGTCATGTAGTACGCGGTCACGTGTGGCGTTAATTGAGTGCTGGAATTACAGTCTCACGGGTAAATCGAAACCGAGAATCGACACGAGAGTTAGTTCGATAACGATCGACGTTGATCGCCGCGCGCTTTAGAAAGAGCGGATCATGGCAAAAAGGAATACACGCCGCATTCAAGTAAATGTTATTTGTTTCTAGTATTCTATAATTTTTTTATACTTGCAAACGAGCTTTCCTCAAATTTGCGATGGGTACATTTGAAGATTATTAATGAAGAAAATATTGCTTGTTGAAGGTAAACATCACATGAGAGAAAGGAAGCAAAGAAAACTGAGTAATCGCTTTTCTTAGCGATGTAGAATGAGATTTTTCTGCGCGTGACGAAACTCTTCAAGTCCGTTATCGCTCTTCGCGGTCTAAATACTTATCGACAAACACGCGCTCTCTTTCTCTCTGCGAGCAAGACGCAAAATCATTTCAATGGACCAAAAACAAACTCGATACGCACGTTGTGCCACAATTCTGTGTGAGAGCGGCTTCGAAATCGGCACGGGGTGTGGTTTAGAAACGATCGATT